CAAGCTGAATCAATGCTAATTTTATAAACTTAAGATCAATAATTTGGAAAACTTAAAAAAAAAAAAAAAATTTCATTCACATTTTTTTCTTTAAACACATAAATTTCGACAATCTGCTTTTTTAAAATAAATATTAGGCAAGAAATGAAATTGAAATAACAATAAGGTATCACATTAAAATATAGACAAAATATTAAAACTATATTTTGACCCTAAATTGCAATGTAAAATTATTCACTTTCAGATTTCACAATATCTCATATAATTGCAGGAGGTTTTATGTATTTTGTTTGCCTTTCCTTTTAGACTTACCGTAAGGTAAAAAAAAAAAAAAAAAAAAAAAAAAAAAAAAAAAAACATTTATCACTATGAATCAAACATATCCAAAGATGAAAATCTTTCATGTAAATTCATATTCAGGAATATTGTAAATGCTACAACAGGCAAAAACACAGCTGTTCCTTTCTGCTATACAAATTTATATGGATAATCATTTTTTCTGTTGTTACGAGTTATTAAGTTTTCCAAACCTTTCGCATACAGGTTCGCTTCGGAGATCTTTTTAAATTCGTCGGTTGAGAAAATATTTTCCGCCTGCTCAGAAGTATGTTCTAAGGCAGCCTTGTTCAGATCTTCATCAGAATACACATGGGCTAACTGGAGAACTCGGCAGACATTTTGGGCAGAAAGATGCCATTTTAGGAAGCAAGAACACTTTACTTTAAGAGACGAAACGTTGTATTTATTGGCTGCTGCGTATAAAAAAAGCAGCAGTTTCTTCCAAAGGTTTTTTTCAAGCAACCGGAGTACGTATATCCAAGCACTTCATACATTACATCAAGAATCGGCATCTGGGACTTCAATTCTGCTTTTCCTCCAACTCTACTCTTCGCTTTCTAGTATTCTAGAAAATACAGAAGATCGGGTGCATAGAATAAACCTATGAGAAAATATTTTCGGACCTACTACAATACTAATATCCGACAATGTTTCACTTTCATAAAGTTTCCAAAGGCTGTCGCTGAAATAAAGACAATTTATAGAAGATCTAAAAGCACAAGAGGATTCCAGATTCACGGTTGAAAATGTGCAGTTCGAATACTTAAAATCGCACTTCATCAACAACCGGTCCTGGGGATCTGTCAAAATAATTACCGAGAATTCAGCATATTTCCAGCTTTCATCATTTTCGAACAAATGGCTACTTTCAGAAGAATGTATCGCGTTGATGCGTATTTTGCTTTTCAAGAAAATTGGCTGGAACTGAAGGTTGGTCTGAAAATGAAAATATCGAAGACGTTATCATGTTTCTGATTTTTACGTATATGTAATTTTAATTTCCATTTGCAGTTTTTTATGCAGTTGACAATAAATATGGTGCGTAAAATTGCATTTGTAGGTAGGCGAGAGAAATTCTGTATTGGCCTTTCAAATGATATCTTGTCTGCACTGATGTGGGTCCGGCATTTTTCCGAAACAACGGGCATAGAGCTCAAACCAGGAAGCCCATATTTCATGGCAGCCGTGGACAGTTCCTCAAACGACTCATATCCGACAAAATCTGTTTTTCTGGCGTAAATATATCTGAACATGTTCTCTAGCAGGTTAGATCCGATATCAAAATCTTCCTCGCATGCCATTTTTTCATCAAGCTCTTTTATCAAATCAGGCCACCTCGACGATAAAATAGCTTTATGAGCTCTGAACGTTCTGCCGCCAGCTCGTAACACCATGTCACTAAACAATCCATCCATTTTCGTAAGAAAGAGGAGGCAATACGTGTGAGTGTGTGTGTGTATGATTATGGCAAAGCCTCGAGGGCTATCTGCCTAAGAGGAGGGATGCCTTCGTGGAGGACTTTCTAAGGAAAACTGGCTCGTATACACGTTACACATGGGGAAAACCACGAAAACGCCCATGCAGCCAGCCCGTTCGCGGGATTCGAACCTCTGGAGGCAATACGTCTTCGGCATATATATGCTATAGCCCCTTGAGAACCAAGCGCATGTTTGTTAACCTATCTTTACCAAACTTGAGATTAACCATTCTATTAGGACTACAAAACACCACATATAGTCAGTTTTCAAAAAAATTAAAAACATATATATATTTTAGCGTGTATATTATAATGGACATTGGGTCTTCATCTTGCAAAAACACATTTTACTAATGAACAAGAGAAGACATTAAATACTTACTTCAATTAACATAAATACAAGAAGTAGCTTTATTTAAGTGTTAAAAACTGAAATTTATTTTATAGTTTATGAAACATATTATTATATGCATTAATAAATTTAAATGAACTTGGATCATTTAACAAATATTTATTCACAAAAACCTATGTATGTACTTCCGCAAAACAATTATTTTGCACTGTTAAACAAAAATACATATTACATTTCATACACATTACTTTAGTTTTTTTGGTACATCCTTTATTCTTGCATCTCACATAATTATTAATGTCCATCATTTTTGGAAGATGTTTAATTTTTTTTTCTTTTAATATCGGAAGGGGACTTCATACTCAAGTCATGTGTTTTACGTTTACGAGTATCTGTTTCTTTCTACAATCATCATTGAGATGGTCTCAAATTGTTCTGAAATTATGGTTTTAAAGTCAATTGAGAACTACCACCTACATGATTTTTGATCCTCTCTCAAAATTCATCATTCAAACACTGAGATCAAAGAAATGAAGGATTGCCTTGACCGTCCATTTCTTTGTGCGTGTCCTAATTCGATAGTAGCTGATTCATCCTATCAATCAGATAAATTCCACCCATGTTAGCATTGTACTCTTTTATTACTACTGGTCTTGGAACTTCTATGTATTTTCTGTCTTTTTTTGGACCAACGTTTACATCTATCTTGTGGTTCTACTCCAAGTTTGGACAAGCATAACAATACAGATTTTTTATCATACCATTTTACGATACATATTTCATCAATCTTGAACGAACTGACATATCAAACGAACCTCTTTCCATTTTTGACATTATATTATCATTTGTAAGATGAACAGCATTTGGGACTCTTGATTTCCATGATAGTGCCCGTACATGCAATATCTCTTTTTCTTAAATCATCTATTAGTAAATAGAAGTAAAATATCTGTCAAAAATTAAAAGATGTGTTCCTCTAGGTACTGTCTCTATCAGCCTCATTACAGCTGAACCACCAACACCGAAGCTCTTGGCCCTCTCAGATGAAAATAGTGTATTTTTTCCTTGGTAGACTTCAAATTCTAACACTAAACCACTTGGTGCTGCCAAAACGAAATTCTTTAGTCCTTCTGGATTTGGCTTCCCTGGTACATATTGTTTTACAGCACAAACATCTGTAAATGGTGTCACCTACTCATCTACAGCAAGATATTCTTACTACGAGGAAGTGTAAGGCAACCCTTTCTAACTCGATCCATAATTGGTCTTACTTTCCAGAGCTTGTCTTTCTGTTTTTGTTCATCTGTAACTTGAGCATCATCAAGCACTTTCAAATGGTTTCTAATCTGAAAATACTTGTTTCTAGTTATCGCGTTAGCAATAGCAGGAACACGTGTAGTTTTCTGCCAATGCATGCGAACTCTTGGATAACCTAAGCATGACATCAGCAGGGTTGCCTCCTAAATATGCTTTCATGTCATTTAAACAAATATTTAAAACATTAACTGTTTCTTTATAAATACTTCATCTTCGTGTATTTGCACATTTCCATTAAACAGCGTCATCCCAAAAGAGAGAAACATATTCCTGCGGTGTCCAGTTCTGCCTATCAACTGCTGATTCATTACTATCCCAGGTGATATCTTCAAGACCATTGAATCTGGAATATGCAAAATAAAATAAATAATGTAATGGAATATTTAACTATAGAATGCTAAATTAATTACAACTATAAATATGACCTTTCAATTTTCTTCCAAAATTGGCGCCTACTTGTTTGAAGTTTTGCCTGTGCTTCTTGCTCAGAAGTTTCTTTTGTATCACTATTAGAAGGCTCATCATTCTCACTTGAACTGCTCTCATCTAATATTTCATTATGTATTAAAATATCATGCTCTTGGAGGCTTTCTTTTCCCTCATCTTCATCACTAATGTCAATGTCCGACACATGACCATTCATTATGGCATCCAAAATTTTTTCTGCATCTTTTTCAGCATCTAAATACCGTCCATTTCCAAAAATCTCTAATAGATATAAAACCAAAAACAAAAGTTTACGACTATGTTCAAAATCACAAATTATTTTTAAATTATTAATATAGAATTTGTATTTAAAATTTAAGTTTTTATTTCTAATCTGATATTAAATAAAAAGTTAAAACAGAAGTAAAATAATAAGTTTTGTTTAAATACACACTTTAAAAATTCTAACTAACTACTAGTAAAAGATTATTATTAAAAATACAAAATTAATTAATTCAGAAATTTATTGTAACAAAAGAATATGTAAGCTGATTATAGAATGTACCTGAATTACTGACATCATAACTGTATGCTCTGCATTTAATTTGGATAATTTAGGCCCATTATCAATAAATTTTATAAAAGCATACCCTTTTAAAAATACTTTTTTAAATGTTTATATAGAACAGGAAAGCCTACTAACTAATTTAACAATCAACTTTTAATTTTTGAGCATATTATGACGTTATATTAAAATAAAAAATATTTTACTTCCGTATGCCAAAAATTAGTGAGTAGGAATATAATCAACTGACTATGACCCACTGTCCAACAGAATGGACGTAGATGAAAATATAGCTATTGTCTCAATATTATTCATGCAAACCCTGAAGAAACAACTTAAGTTTATCATTTTATCATTTAAAATCAAATATCAGTTGTTTTAATATCAAAAGAAGTTAGCAAAATATGAGAAAAATGGTCTAAAATAATGCACTTTACCTTCGACTGTCCTCCTTGTATTGGCGGCCATTTTCAAACGATAATTTAAGAAACATTCCACCGCTTTATAGATGTTTGACTATATAGATGGCAGCACCAGACGGTCCACTATCATGGACTGTGAGACTTTACAACTTGAAACGGTAATTATTTTTATGACATGCAAAATACAAATGTCCATTAGAATGGACGCTGGTTTTGGAAGTAAATTGAAAGGTAAATGTCATATTTATAGTTGTAATTAATTTAGCATTTTTGTAGTAGTTAAATATTCTATTACATTATTTATTTTATTTTGCATATTCCAGATTCAATGGTCTTGAAGATATCGCCTGGGATAGTAATGAATCAGCAGTTGATAGGCAGAACTGGACACCGCAGGAATATGTTTCTCTCTTTTGGGATGATAAGTTTTTAATGGAAATGTGCAAATACACGAAGATGAAGTTTCATAAAGAAACTGGTAATGTTTTAAATATTTGTTTAAATGACATGAAAACATATTTAGGAGCAACCCTTCTGATGTCATGCTTAGGTTATCCAAGAGTTCGCATGTATTGGCAGAAAACTACACGTGTTCCTGCTATTGCTAACGCGATAACTAGAAACAAGTATTTTCAGATTAGAAACCATTTGAAAGTGCTTGATGATGCTCAAGTTACAGATGAACAAAAACAGAAAGACAAGCTCTGGAAAGTAAGACCAATTATGGATCGAGTTAGAAAGAGTTGCCTTACACTTCCTCGTAGTAAGAATCTTGCTGTAGATGAGCAGATGATACCATTTACAGATGTTTGTGCTGTAAAACAATATGTACCAGGGAAGCCAAATCCAGAAGGACTAAAGAATTTCGTTTTGGCAGCACCAAGTGGTTTAGTGTTAGATTTTGAAGTCTACCAAAGAAAAAATACATTATTTTCATCTGAAAGGGCCAAGAGATTCGGTGTTGGTGGTTCAGCTGTAATGAGGCTGATAGAGACAGTACCTAGAGGAAAACATCTTTTTTTTTTTTTGACAGATATTTTACTTCTATTTACTAATAGATGATTTAAGAAAAAGAGATATTGCATGTACGGGCACTATCATGAAATCAAGAGTCCCAAATGCTGTTCATCTTACAAATGATAAGATAATGTCAAAAATGGAAAGAGGTTCGTTTGATATGTCAGTTCGTCAGGATGATGAAATATGCATCGTAAAATGGTATGATAAAAAAGCTGTATTGTTATGCTCGTCCAAACTTGGAGTAGAACCACTAGATAGATGTAAACGTTGGTCAAAAAAAGATAGAAGATATATTGAAGTTCCAAGACCAGTAATAATAAAAGAGTACAATGCTAATATGGGTGGAATTGATCTGATTGATAGAATGATCAGCTACTATCGAATTAGGACACGCACAAAGAAATGGACGGTCAAAACAACCCTTCATTTCTTTGATCTCAGTGTTGTCAATGCATGGATTTTAATGAGAGAGGATCAAAAAATCTAATGCAGGTGGTAAGTTCATGCAATTTTTAGACTCTGAAACCATAATTTCAGAAAAATTGCTGAGACCATCTCAGTTGACTGATTCTAGTGATGAAGAAACAGATACTCGTAAACGTAAAACACATGACTTGAGTATGAAGTCCCCTTTCGATATTAAAAGGAAAAAAAATCAAACATCTTCCAAAAATGATGGACATTAATAATTATGTGAGATGCAAGAATAAAGGATGTACCAAAAAAACTAAAGTAATGTGTATGAAATGTAATATGTATTTTTGTTTAACAGTGCAAAATAATTGTTTTGCGGAAGTACATACATAGATTTTTGTGAATAAATATTTGTTAAATGATCCAAGTTCATTTAAATTTATTAATGCATATAATAATATGTTTCATAAAGTATAAAATAAATTTCAGTTTTTAACACTTTGTATTTATGTTAATTGAAGTAAGTATTTATGTCTTCTCTTGTTCATTAGTAAAATGTGTTTTTGCAAGATGAAGACCCAATGTCCATTATAATGGACACGCTAAAATATATATATGTTTTTAATTTTTTTTGAAAACTGACTATATGTGGTGTTTTGTAGTCCTAATAGAATGGTTAATCTCAAGTTTGGTAAAAATCGGTTAACAAACATGCGCTTGGGTCTCAAGAGGATAGGAAGTAGAAAATGTCGTTTGTTTCAGTTTCCATAATACACAGAGGTTTGCTTTTCTAGTAGTTCTCTGCTACTATGAATGCGAGCATTATGCCTTATCTAATCTATAAGAACTTTCGCTTTGAGACATAAGACGAAAAAAGCTTTAATAAATTTCGCTGCAAGAGATGAAAATGGATTCCTAAAAAGTTTTGAAAATACGCGATTTCAACTTTCTTTCAGTAAAAACTTTGTTATTTAAGGTAAAGGTGAATTCTATTTCATAGTATCAGAATAAAATCTAAGGAAACTGCGAGAACTGTTTACCTTTGATTTCATTTCTATATTTGCCAATAAATGAAATTAAATATTAGTGCAAGAATTTATTCCTTTTCTATTATTTGTCCTTACTATCCTCTATTATTTAAACTAACGTGGGAAGATATCTTCAATGTACCTAAAAAGTGAAAAATATGTAATATAATTCTACAAAAGTGCGATATCTTTTTAATTAAATATACCAAGATTTAAATACCTTTTTATTTCAATCAAATGGAATAAACACTAAAAAAAAATATTCAATGTTTTTAAAAAGATATAGAACCATGAATTAAATGCATTTTTATTTAACTAAATTATATTCAAAATTATAAAAATATTTTAAAAAACTGCATCTATTGCTTTTAAATAGCTTAGTTTGTTCATGAATAACAAATAGATTAAATTTGAAAGATAATACCTTACATTTTGCCAAATGGCAACAAATTTGAATGAAAAATGAAACAACGCAAAATCACGTTTCGAGACTAATAGCCCTTTTGGGCTAATAAACAAAACTCTTTAAAAGAAAGTAAGCTTTTTATCCACTCAACTGGGTTTAATCTGTAAATTTAAATTGCCAAAGCCCTGTAGAAAGCTGTCAGTAACTGAGAAAATTAAACAAAATTATAACAATTACAAACTTCAAATAGTAAAGTTGAATAAAATCATAAGTAATATGTAAAAAATAAATTAATTAAATTAAATTAACAATAAATAATTATTCTAAAATCTGTGTCTTTTTAGGAATTCCAAATATTGTAATTCTACTTAAAATGTTCTTATATTTTCTATATTACTTCTTACGAGAGGAGTTTTCTTAGATTTAAATCTGTTACGAAGTATTTAATAGCTAAAAATGAACTGGAAAAATCGGAAATTTTGCTAACAGAAAAACAAACCAAATAAATAGAACTTCAGAATAATGGAATTAAAGTTTTATTTCAAAAATTAATCGGAGCTTTTATTTATTTCTCTATATATCATTTTAACATTTTATAGAATTTTTTTTGTATGTGTGTGTGTGTTCATTTAGTCTAGCTACAACACCTCGTTTTTAGAATAGTTTATTGAAAGACGAAAGAACAATGTGTTACTGAACATAGCATTTAGTTGTTTTATTTGCCGTCAGATGGCAGCAGCATAATACAATCATAAACTAAAACTAAAAGTAGTGTTTCCGTCGATTTATACAATTATCCTTTTATTTTATATTCTTAATTAATTTTTGCAATCTTTGACGTTATTTAGATATACTTAACTTCTACTTTCAATGTTAATAATGTTTTAAGAATTAAAAAATAAGTTTTGATTTACACAAACAGACAATTAATTGTTAGATGTTTACTCATTTGGATGAAGTGTGCGTTAAGAGCTTGCTTGGTTCATTTTTTTTATGTTCGTTACTTTTTTCGATTAGTTTTTTTAGATTTTTTTTATTAGTTCTTTAGTCTCCTTTTCCCTCCAAAAAACAGGTATTATGAGGTACTCGATAATATTGGCAGATAATGGATTCTGCGATGGCGTTTGTTTTTCGTAGATTACTGTGAGAACAATTTTAATACGCGTCCAAATCTGATCTAAAACATTGCAAAAATTTCAGAGAATTTAGAAGCATTATCATTACTAGAAATGCTTAAAATTTGCTAATTTATCAGCCATAATATATATTTATGCACAATATTCAATTAAATTATTAAGAAAGAGTATCCCTTTGGAAAAAGTAGATTATAATCTGTTGTAATTATAAAACTTAATAAAGAGGAAATCCTTGGAGATGAAGAGTTAAAACTATTGTATTCATAAAACTTAATATTAATTTTCACTTAATGCGGGAGAAAAGTCTATTTAGAAAGTATGAAAATTATATGAAAAATAATAGAAGCAAATTTAATTATCGCTGATTCCATCAAAAGAAAAAAAAAAAGGCTTAATTTTCATGGCGAATCAGCCGTTTTCGATAAAATTAGCAACGATTGTTGAGATCTAATCGCGTTTCCTCCCCCTCGTATATTTGAATAAAATTCAATCCAATATAATCCAAATAAATATTTCAATTTAATTAATTAATTTACGTTAATTCAATTCATTTTCAAATATAGAATGATCCCAAATTCATGGTTCAAACTTAGAAAGGAGGTACAGAACAAACAAACGAATAATATTCCTCAGCGTCCTCAGCTGAGTCAGCTGGAGTCGCATAAGCAAGACTCTTCAGATGTTCCCAGAAAATATTATCTGGGATAGATATATCGGGGTGTCTAAGGGACTGATCCACTATGGCTAGTTCATTACGTTCCAGAAGCAGCATTCAGGTAATTATGAACATCAATGCTCAAGTGGGTTGGCGCCTCATCATCCTGGAACCACATTCAGTTACGAATGGACATCGGGTCATCTTGCCGCAGTTCTGGTAACATATGTTCCAGAAAAATAAGATAACACTGGCCATTGAGTCGCTGCGGTAGTAGGTATGGACCAATTAAAACGTTGTGGATAATACTCGCTTTACATTCACACCGATTCATTGCGGAGACGCATGTGGTCGCGTTGCGTTTAGATTCTCAGTTGCCCACACATGAGAACTGTGCGCATTAAATACACCCTCGCGGATGAACGTTGACTCATCTGTAAATAACTCATAAGATGTGAAATCCAGCTGCAATTCAAATTGATGCAAAAGCCACTGGCAGATGCTCAGGTGCAGAGGATAGTCTTGCGGATTCAAAGTTTGTATTTGCTCAAAATTGAAGGGGTGTAAGCGATTTTCGTTTAAAACTTTACAAATGGTATGTTGACTCATCTACGTTTTGTGCTACAGCTGTTATACTTGACTCAAGGTCTATCAGCCACAAAGTTCAAGATGATTTTTTCAAATCTTGGATTCAGTGCAATTCGTTGTCGACCAGCATCCTGTCTTGTGACGTTTAAATGGTCTCTTTCACAAAGTTGATAATGTAACTACTGAAACATTCTGTAACCCTCATTCGCTATCCGGAAACTGCGCGTGATACATTCGTAGCGCAGCTCTAGCGTTACCGTTTGCACGCTGTACAAGTAATGCATAACTGCTTTTTCGGTATACGTAAAGTCTCCCATCACTGACGACAGCACAATCGCGAATGGCGTCTTTCCCTGTTGAGATACACACCTTCTGCCCTCTACCGGCAATAGTGTGTTTTTATGCAAATTATTAATATGAAAAGGTGTTTTGTGACGTAGTTTGAATCAAGATCTTTTTAAATGACTGATAAAAGATTCTGTGGGTGTTGTTCTTTGTATGAAGCAATTGACGCCAGATATTATGTGATCTCAATCTCAGTGTAAGGTTTTCTTATTATAAATGCATTTTAAGCTGTATTTATTCCAAAATAAATGGATTGCGATGTGGGTTTCCTATGTGACTATTATTCACGACTTTGTTATGTACTTCCCATCCAAGTTTGTACCGGGAATTTGGAATCACCCTGTGCACAAAAAGACATTAAAATTTGCACACAATATATATACACGCAGACTCACAATTCTTTAGTTCATTTTTGTCAGATTAAACTTAGAAAGTATGTAAAACAGGCTCTCTCTTCTTCGAGACGGTCTTGAAGTTTGAAGCTTTTGGGTTTTTAGATGATGGTTAAACGCCAATTTGTAAATGAACATGACGTCCAGAACGAGTTTGGTAATTTGCTTTCGCAGAAGACTTCATTTACTGGACATACTGGTTGCTGAGATGAGGACTTGTCAACATCTGGTAAAATACGAGGTACAGATACATCGTCTGGGACCAAGTCGATATACACAGTGATATTACTTTCTTCTTTAGAGATGGTAAAACTTTTATCACTACGTTGAAGCACATTGCAAGGACCAGTGTAGGGTGTCTGCAAGGTGAGTTTCAGTGCGTCTACACGTAGAAAAACACGAGAACATTTGTTAACGTTCTTGTAAACAAATATTTATTTGAATGATATGTAGTAGCAGTCGGTCGAAGGTGCTCTATATGGTAATTTATGTTTTGTAGAAAGTCATTCTTTAAATTTTTGCTTTTGGAGGAATATATAGAATCGTTCTGGGAAACGTAAAGTTTGACCATACACAAGTTCAGCTGGAGAGCAATTAAGTTTCTTTTTAAAAGCGGTTTGGAGTCCTAAAAGAACTGGTGATAATGCAACAGTCCTAGTGTACAGATGCATGACACATTATGGACTGTTTAATGGAGTCCTAAA